CCCTTCAAAAAGTTCAGATTTTAAATGAACAGAGAAACTTTTCACTTTCAGCAGATGAATGTAAAAAACTCCTCCCAGTGTCAAACTCTGCTCATAGCCAACATCGTTCTGCACAGTGAAGCTCAAACATCCAACAACAAGAACAAGAATAAAAACACATTTTCTTGATCAGGCTTCTGCTGGGTGGAAGTTGAAATCATGAAGTCACCAAACTTGCACAAATAATTTGATAAGGTGTGCAAAACCATCAGGAGAGTGAGTGTCAACCTGTCCGTGCAGTCTATGATCTGTACACGCCCAACAATTAGTCCTGAAATAAAGATTTAAAGTGAAAACAGCTGTGTGTGTGTTTGGGACTTTAAAGTTTAAAAGCTCTTAAACCCGCTTTGCTTTTACTGCTCGGATCTCAAACACTATAAAGGCATGTGGCCTAAATCACTTAAACATTAAAACTTGCCAACATTATCAACTGTTTTTATCAATTTCTGAACGTAATACGCATCATTATAATTATGAATTATGATGTATACTATTAGCCTGCTCGATAAAAGACAAACCCTTCAAATCATATACAGCAGGTACTTACCCGAAGGAGCAGTCTCCGCACACAAAATACTTGCACAGGTGTAACCCATCGCACTGTGGACACTCTCCAGGCTTCCTCTGACACAGCCGCAGACTGGTTTTAGCCACAATCAAACTATCCGGGCTGAGGACTTGCCCGCCGACCACCCTCTGTTTGCCCTCCTGAATGGCTATTTTACCATCTTCGAAGAGGACTTTGCGCAGGACGGGTTCCGCAACAGTGAAACTCTGCGCGATCCTCTCATCCAGACGCTTGAAGTCCAAACAGCCATGGTTGTCGCACAGGGTCTTGATGATGCATTTAGAGATGACTGTGGTCATCCTGGATTGAGTGAAGCCTGGTAACCCACACTGTTTTTAGAGCAGAGCTAGGCTACAGCTTCCTAGTGGTACACACAATGACTTCTGATTACAGGGAAATGAAACTGAAACTTAAAGCGACAAGAAGAAACTTTAATTTTGTGTCGATTCTGGCGGCCCCCTGTGGACAAAGGCGGTATTGTCCCAACCGAGAATCCAACTGAATCTGAAGAATAAGAATAAATAAACAGCCAATCTTATCGGTGATGGTCTCATTTGCTTATGTAAGTCATATTGTTTATAGTTTATTAAGGATCCCCGTTAAAAGCACGTGTATGCTCCTTAACATAAACAAAAAAAAAAAAAAAAAAACCTAACAATCAGACCATACACATAGGGTTATGGTCATGCTGTTATATGGCAAGATAGTTTTAAATATGCTTCTAAAAGTTATTAGGCTTATAGTAAGTTAAACTTAAAAACACAAATATAGTCCTCAAACGAATAAAAGGCAACATAAAGTGATAATTAACGTAAACCAGCCCTTCCTCTGTGTCTTTATTAGTTGTAAGAGCTACAGATTTGGGAGGTTTCTGCGGGTACGTGAAGGCAACAGTAGCCCTAGCAACCGTTGCGGGGGTTCAGTGTACCATAGCAACCATGGAGGATGAGCTGTCGATGGAAGAAAAAGGGAGAGAAGTGACGCAGGAGCAGAAAGAAATCCTCCACAAGCGAGTCAGAGAGCTAAAGTGAGCTTCAGAAATATCTCTGAGAACAGCTGCGTGTGTGAAAATGCTATAATATAATGCTATGTTAATTTAAACGTTGAACGCTGGCGTTGAGCTAGTTGTGCTGTTAGCTGTATGGTTATTAGTAGTTAAAAGCACTAAAACATAATGTTAACTAACTTATAAATACTAGAACTATTAGCTAAGTTAAATAACAATTAGTGCAGAGAGGTAACTCGGAGTAGAGCGCCATTAAACTGGGCTAGGTAACGTTATGAAATGTTAAAATATGTGGCAGTAAGCAGAATTATAGTTGAATTAAATTAGCTTTTTTTTAACTAACTCACATAAGTAGAGTTTCTGTTCTCCTTGAGAAATGATTAGAGGTGATTGAATAAGTAACACAGTTGGTTAAGTTGTACACACA